TTTAAAGAATACATTGTAAAAGAATAGCATGGGGAAGAAATGACAATTTATATGTCTAGAGCTCCTTCAGGGACCTAGGATCTCAGCCTCCAACATAGCTGGATCCCATTAAAAATAATGAATCATTATTTGAATTCACACTGCATATTTCTACAGGCCTGGAACCAATTATCTTATTCTACCTAATTATACTGTCGAACAGTGTGAATTCGAATACATACCACCACTGCATGAGTTCATTTCTTGAACTAATTAGAACTTAACTGTATCAGGCTTCTCACTTGTAGTACTAGAGTCCCAGACAACAGACCCTCATTTCTACCACCTTGACCAGGACCAGACACCTGACCTTTTGCCCTCAGGTCTTTATCTAAGAGTAGGCCCCAATCAAACAGTAATATATCTCATGGCTAAAAACCTCCCACTCTTGCTCCCCAAGATCTAGTGAACCAGTAGTAGGTTGTCTAGCCAAAAACAAATAAATAAAATAAAATGAAACAAAACAAAAAAACTTTTACCCTGGTACCACCTACCAATCTCTCATCTGTACCCGTCTCAACTCTACTACTTCAATGTTTCAGTCTGGTTCTTCTTTCCTCCTTTGTGCCCTCTGAAACTCCTATTCTAGGGTTAACAAACTTTCCTTGTTGTAGACTTTTTTCTACTCTATTTGTATTCACCAAAACTTTAATTCCTCTGGAAGACACTGTATCCCCAGCCACCCTCTTTAGTACTAAATCACGTAGCCCCAGTTTGTTGGGCCAAGAGAGAAGGCACATTCCTGACTCCCTGTGGCCACCTCCAGTCTCTCCCTCTTCCACTAGGTTTCCTCCATTCAAATATAACTCAAACCACACTCTGACAGCAGTTATCTCCAGGTTATTGTCCTTCCTTCCTCACAGTATTCAATAACTGGCCTGCAGTTTTCCTCTCCATCCCACCTTCTTTACACTTGGAGACTTCAATATACAGATTGGTGTCGGTTCAAATATACTGGTCTCCTAGTTCCTCAGTTCCCGTGCCTTGACCTTTTACTCCACCCCCCAGCACACAAAGGGATGGTCATACCCTTATTCTCACTATTACTCATAAATATTCAAATCTGACCCACAATTCCTAAACTCTTCTGACAATAACCTCCTAAATTTCCACATCTTCCTGTGCCTCACTGCTTCTACACCTATTTTTTTTCCTCACCATGATTTTTAGTTATTTTAGTTATTCTATCTCTCCCTAATTGTTCTTGGATCCACACCCCTGTTCTGGCCTCACTTTTCTCCCTTCACAACCTTGACCCTATAACTAAAGAGTACTCTTGAAGAACAGTACCCTTTACCTTGCTCTGCTGATGCTTTCCAAAACCCAACCCCAGGTCACTCCCCACCACCTCCCTTCTCCTCTCTTCCACAGGTACTACTTAAGAAGAAATCACATGCCAGCGTCAACTAGGTCTGCAATAAAGTTATGTATTAATCTCAAGTGGGTTCTCACTATTGCACAGGTATCTTTATTATTCCCTATCACACTCCCCAAAGCAGCTGTTCCATACTTTCTCTTCTTACACTGAGACACCTATAACACCTCTTCTCCACTCCCTATCCACAAAAGACTTTGCCTCACATCTTACTGAGAAAATAGAGGCCATCTAGCATGAACCCCCTCATATACCATGTTCTATACCTCAATATCCCTTGACATCATTCCCCCATCATTTTCCACGTGGCTCCTCTCCTGGATTTCTTGATCTCTAGAAACTCATCATCCTGCAATACGACATCAACTCTGAAACACACCTCCTCACTACCTCCTGACCTCTGTGGATCTCCCTTTCTCTAATGAGAGAGTGTACACGGCCACTAGAGAGCGCCTTCATTGGGGAGCTCCTCCCATATCCTCTGTTATTGTTTGTCCTTCCTTTTCAAAGAGTACCAATAACATCATGGGGTGACATCTTGACTTACATGTGAACTGGATTTAAGTGAGGAAGAGTTGCACAAAGTCTTCAACCTCATTCTCTCTTCCGGAGTCATCCAAATCCACTGGCAAGCCAAAAGTCAAGACTACTGGTGATGTACTGGAGTGTATTGTATGATCTTGAAGTCTGTCATGTCTGACCCAGCTCTAAATGCTCCACAGTGCCTGCTTCAGCCACCTTCATGGCAAAGGGAAGAAACTGTTCACATCTACCCATTCTGCTGTGGGAAGCCTTCACATGCTTGGATAGATATCCCCCTACCTCACCAATAGGTTTAAGCTCTATCCATTACTCTCACCCTGATTTAGCCCAGCTACTGAGACAATTTACCAGGGTGTGGCTGCTGTGCATGCTACAGCTTCTTGGAACCACAGGTGAGAGCTGGGTGAAGGTGGATGCCAAAGGTGCATGAGCAGCCCTGAAAAGAGTTCACAAGCTCTCACACCAGAGGAACTAGTCCTCCCTGAACACCCCATATATCCCAGATCCTCTACCATTTAAGGAAAAAGCAAGGGCTCATCATTTCCACCCTGGTTGTATTACTTCATTATATCCCCGTTCCAAGTCACTTCCCATTTTCAGTTGCTTTTTATGCATTATTCTCCCCCTTTGGATTGTGAGCTCCTTGAGGACAGAGACTATCTTTTCCCTTTCTTGTATCCCAGCATCTAACAGAGTACCTAGCACAGAGTAGGTGCTTAATCAATGTTTATTGATTATTGACCTCTTTTACTTTGTTTCTACCATTCCCTTACACTATTTATCCTATATATCTCATCCCTCCACAAGAAGAAACCTAATCTTCATCCCTGGGTTTTCATGATACTTCTGTCTTCTGTTCCTACATTTATGTCTATTTCTCAGGCTCCTTTGTAAAATTATCATGCATACCCCACCTCTTAATCGTGGGTATACACATGTATATGTGTATATGTATATGTGTGTATGCATGTAAACACACACACGTATGTATGTATGTATGTATGTATGTATGTATGTATGTATGTATGTATGTATGTACATACCCATCCCCAGGCTATGTCTTGTTCTAGCTCTGCTCTCCTTACACTCTATTCTCTTCTCTCTTTTGTCTTGCTCTTATGAACTCCCATGGATTTAATTAGCTCTGTGGCAGTGATTATCAGATCCCTATCTCCAGCCCAAATCTCTCACCTGCTCTCTTAGTTTCACTTCCTCAACTGGATGTTGGATATATCCAAAAAGCTATCACAAAGGCATTTTAGACTCAACATGTCCAAACAGGAATTAAAAACTCATCGTAAACATAAAATACATTTTTACTCATTCATTCATTCATCTATCTGTTAATTTATGTATTTGTTTAAAAACACTTCTCTCCTCCAAATGATTTTCATGCATCACAGGTTTACAAGCTTGGCATTTTCCTTGACTTCTTCCCTTTATTTTCCATATTCATTTAATTGCCAACTCTTGCCAGCTCTACTGCCACAACGTCTTCTCTTCACTCACATGGTTACCACCCTAGTCCAGTCCCTCATTGCTTCTTATGTAGAGGACTACAACAGGAAGCTGGCTTGCAGTCTCTCACCTCTCTAATCCATCCTCCACACAGCTAAATAATGTTCCTAAAACACAAGTCTGACCACGTTACTCTTCTACTCAAGAATCTTCAGTGGCTCACTATTTTATCACTAGGATAAAATACAGGAGCTTCAGATTAACATTTAAAACTGTTCACAGTCTGTCTGCAGCCCACCTTTCCAGGTTTACATTCTAGCCACTACGGCCTTCTTACTGTTTCCTGAACTCAACCTTCCATTCTTTGCTTCCATGTCTTGGTACAAGCTGTCTCCCACACCAGAAATTTATTATTTTCTCACCTTTGTATCTTAAAAAGGTTCAACTCATGCACCATCTCTGATGTGAAGCCTTTCTGAATGCCTCTCATTATTGCTCTCTCTCCTCTAATGATTATACGTATTCCTATCTATATATTGTAAATCACCCCACCTCCCCAAACAGAATTGTCAGGCTGTATGGGCTGTGGACTTAACGGACTGAAGGCTCAATATGAGCCACCAATGTGATGTGTTTAGGAACAGTCTGGAATCAGAGAAATGTTGCCCTGTACTGCTCCCTGAACAGCTTTTGTTCTAGGTACCACATTTAGGAAGGACACTGACAAGTGGAGTCAAGTTGTATTTGAGACTCACAATGACATCATTTGAGGAACAATTTAAGAATCTGAGGATGTGTAGTCTGGAGTATAACCTCTGGAGAGGCACTAGAGAGCATGTGACAGTTATCACATATCTGAAGGACTGTCTTCTGGAAAGAGGAAATGTAAAAGATGAAGACGATGAACAGAAAGGACCAAAGCACAAGAAGGGGCTACCGAAGCAAGACAGAACAGACTGTTTCATCTGTATTGCATAAGGAACTATGTTAAATAGCCACCATTCTATATGGTTCCAGATGGTAGAAGTAGGACTAATGGGAAGTTATAAGGAGGCAGATTTTGGCTAAGAGCTTATGAACAATTAGGACTACCCAAAAATGGAATGGGCTGCTATCAGAGTTAGTGAATTTTCCATTTTGGGAAGTATACCAGCAAATGCTGGATAACCACTTGTCTGGGATTATTCTAGAGGCAATTAGTTCTTACACTGGCCAGTTTCCTGACCTTAAAGTTCCCTTTTAATCAAAGAGTCCATGATTCTAGAATGATAGCAACAATGATGCCAATTAACAATGAAACATATGGATAGCAAAAAATAGCACAAGAATCTAGCCATTAAGGACAAAATCCTGCTTCTGTGAGAACTTCTGATAGTGAGGAAGGAGGAGCTAAAAATACATATTGTTACCTATAGGTCCAGATATTGAAGGCAAAAATACAGGGAGAAAAACCTACTCAAGCAACTCAGCTAGAAAGCATTATTAAAAAGAACTTTTTTTCTTTTTTGTAGAATTGTACCTGAACAAACATTTCCTGTGAAGTTTTTAAAAAAAAGATATAAGGTTTACATGAAAACTGACTGACCTTATGGAAAAAGCACGTTGCCTTCTCTTCACCAAGAAACAGGTCTAACTTCTTTGGAAAACTGAAAGAAAAAAAAAGATAAAATTAAAAACAATCAAGTTGTTTTTAAGTTGATTTGCAAATCAACTGCACATCAGTAGTCCTGAAGCCCTAAATGAAATGAGGACAAAACTAAATGAAGTTAGCCTGGGGATAGCAAGAAAAACAAAGAAACAAAAAATTAAAAACCACTGTACATGCTAATGCATTGTTGGTAGAGCTGTAAATTAGTAAATATATCTGAAAAGCATTTTGCAACTGTACCCAAAAGTAGAGATACCACCATGAGGCACTGTTCTTTCCATAGCACCAAACTACCTTCTTATGACCCTATAAAGTAGGGAAGAAAAAGCATTGTAGACTGGGAAATATTTTTATGGACTGTTGCTGGTTCATTTTTCAGATGTACTCATGGCGCTTTTTTAAAGTATACTTTAAACATAATAGTGCCGCCTTTTTTTTTTTTGCCATTTCAGGAACTGATAAATTACTGATGCCAGAGAAAGGGATTACAGAAAACAGGAAGCTGGGAAGGGGAAATGATTTTGCAGTAAAACTGATGAATCTAGTCTTGGACATGTTGAGCTTGAAAGTGATGGATACAAAAGTGGAGACATGTTGGAGGGAATGAAGTTGAATAAAAAGTTGGTAACACACAGCTAATAGCTGATGGTAGGTATCTGATATCTTATATATGACATATCTCATATCATATGAGATCTCTGAAGGAGTTGATTTGGAGAAAGAAAAGCAGAGAGGGGGAAAAAGAGCCTTAGTAGAAATTAGGAGAAAGAAGAAGAGGCTCCAGATAAGAGGCAATGAGTTCAGAGAGTTAGGCAGAAAAGGATGTCATAGAAGCCAAAGAACCAAGGAGGAAAATCACCTATGTAAAATATCAAGCACAGAAGAAAGGGCAAGATAGATAAAGACTGTTAAAGGCTGGACCATTTGTCAGGGATGTCATAGAAATGATTAAGATATAGGTCAAGGTCTGTTCTAGCAGTTTTTAAGGCTCTTTACAATTCTGAGTCTATGAAAAGATAATAAGATTTGGTTAAATACCATTCATTGCACACAACACTCTATCTCCCAATCACATGCATCTCCCCTAGATGTCCCCCATGCATAGAATATTCTCCCTCCTCATCTCTATCTCCTCCCCTAGCTTCCTTCAAGTCTCAGCTATAATCCCAACTTCTACATGAAGCCTTTCTCAACCCCCTCCATGCCTTCCCTCAGAGATTACCTTCCATATTTTAAACCTTTTTTGTACCCCCAAAGTATAGTATCTTGGGCTCAACAAATAGATGATGAATGAGGCACTGTGGCATAATGGTAAGTAGCCTATATTCAAAACTCAAAATTCATGGGTTCAAACCCCAGTTCTACACTTATACAACTTGTCTTCACAAAACCAACAAGCAATAACTTTCATTACACACACACACACACACACACACACACACAAACTTGTTACAAATTCAAAGTAAAATCAAAGTAATTTCAGAGGGCATTAGTAGTTAGAAGAATCAGGAAAGGCCTTATTATCTCATTTGGTCAGATATACAGTAGTAGACATGATTTTTAGAGCCCAGTGGTAATTTTGGACAAGACTATTCCTGGTAAGCATGAAATCATGCATTTGAAGCTAAGGAAGATGAGTGACTGTCTTGATTTCATACACACAAAGGAGGCATAAGTAGTTAAAGGATATAGTAGAAGGCAAGCTAGAAATTATACATCCCTGGGTGACCACAGGTATTATATAAACCTTTCATTTAAACTTGGATACCTGTAAAAACACTAGAAGATGTCAGACTATTTAGAAGATTGCCAAGTAGTACATTTTGAAGTACACGTTTTATCAGGGCAGTCTAATTTTCTTCTAAAAAAGACTGGCTGGTTTGGTAGGTGATGAGGAATCAATCAATGTAATATGTTCTGAGTTTCACAAGACTCTGGATTCTGTGTTTTAACTTCATCAAATATATCAGAAAATATCATCTGTAGAAAGTCTTAGCAACAGGTTGGGGAATGCCAATCTGATGTCTGACCTTATCACTCAACCAAAATTGTTCTCTCTGAAGTTACCAATGGGGCAGCTAGCTGGTGCAGTGGATAGAGCACCAGCCCTGAATTCAGAGGACCTGAGTTCAAATCCTGCCTCAGACACATAACACTTACTAACTGTGTGACCCTGGGCAGGTCACTTAACCCCCTTTCCTAGCCAGAAAAAAAAAAGTGTTGAAGTTACCAATGACCCCTAATTGCCAAATCCAATGGCTTTGCTGAGTCATCCTTCTTGACCTCTCTGCAGCATTTGACACTGGTTGACTATTCTCTGTTCCTGGATATTCTCTCCTCTCTGGGAGTATCTCATGATACTGTTTTCTCTTGGTTCTCCTACTTGTTTGATGTACCTTCTCAATCTTCTTTGCAGTATCATCATTCATGTTCTGTCCTCCAGCTGTGGATGTAACCCAACACTCTTTCCTGGTTCTTCTCTGTCTATACCAGCTCTCTTGAACACCTCACAAGATCCCATGATTGAATTATTGTCTTAATATAGATAGATAACTATGGTATTCATATATCTAATCTTACTCTGTCTCATGAGCTCTAGTGTTCAATCACCAACTGTGCATTGGGCATTTCTAACTAGATGTTCCATAAGCATATCAAACTCAGTATGTCTAACACATAACTCATTCCTTCCACCCAACCCCTGGGGAAAAATCCTCCTTCTCAACTTCTCTATTTCTGCAAAGGGTACCATTATCCTTCTAATTGTCAAAATTTCCATTTTTAGTCATCCCTATCACTTTAATTTCCCTCATCTGCCATATTAAAAATTGGTCATCTTGTAATTTTACCTCCATGATATCCCTCACATTCATTACCTTCTCTCCACTTATACCACCACCACCCTAGTTCAAAGCCCTCAAAAACATTTACCTGGAACACTGCTGCCTCAAAACTCTGTTCTCTAATCCACCCCTTATACAGACATCAAAACAATATTGCTGAAGTACGTAAAAGTCAAAGAGCTCCAATAACTCTGTAACGCCTCTAGGATAAAACATCAATTTCTTTGTTTGGATATTCACAGTCGGCCCCAACCTATGTTTCCAGTATGCTCCTCTTCATGCGTGCTAAATTCCAGACAAACTACACCACTTGGTGCTCTTCACACATAACATTCCATCTCTCATCTTTGTGCCTTTCTAGAGGTTTTCTGTCCTCTACTCTGGAATTCAGCACCACAGATTCATCTCAACTCTTCTGTGAAGCAGCTGACAATGATATCAATAATCACCAGCTGGCCTTTTTTTTTTTAATTGAGTCTGTGTCTTTGTAATGAGAAAAGAGAGATCATTCTCAAGAGAGTGAGAGCTATCCGTGACTTTCAGTGGAAGCCACTGAGAGGGCCAAAAGGTGGTAGGCCTTAACCATCTAGGCAGCATGAGTACAACAGCACAGATGAGAGTCCTGACAGCCCCACCAGAACAGGAACAAATTGGCAAACATCTCTCAATTATTTTGCATCTTTCTGATTGTGTGTCACAAGCACGCAGTGCTATAATCAGCATAGAGAAGGTCTTGAATAACCCCCATTAATATTTTGCTGAAGCTATCAGAGCGTGGCAGACAGAACACATTCTCATCTGACCTAAACTCAAAGCTAATCATTGAAGCACAGTCTTTCAAGGGAGCTCAGAGAAAGTCGTAAACAACAAGGCAAGAACTTGGTCTCATTTGATGCCACTAGTCACAGTAAATACACTCGATATCTCCCTTGCCTGTACCATTAGACCCTCAGCACAACTGAATGACTTTTATACTTATCTCTGGACATCCAATCATTTGAAGGACTTTTTCCACAGACCAACTCACTGATTGGAATGAAACAACTTGATTGAGTGTTTGAGCAAAATACAGGAGCCCTTAAAATCTTTACTAATGATTAGGTGATGAACAAGAGAGTTTGTTCATTATATTCATACATGAGATCAAGTTGGAAGAAGTGATGATGCACTCAGCAGAGGACATGTTAAGAATTCAAAATAGCCATGATAAATTGGATGTTATTAGTAATAAACAGAATACAGTTGAATCTAAGCAAGTTTATAGCTCTGTTCTCAGCAAGCAAAAACATCACATAAAAATAAATGACAGGGAACAGCTAGCTATATGCTAGTATGGAAGCTGGGCAAATTTGGGAATCAATCAATAAGCATTTATTAAGCCTTTACTATGTGCAAGGAACTGTGTTCTTCGGGAGACAAAACAAAAGTGAAACAATACCTGCCCTAATGGATTCAACATTGTGATGGGAGAGAAAAGATGTATTTGTCTGTATAAGTATCCATGTGTTTACATACATACATGTACATATGAATTTACATGTATTGTGTTATATATAATAATCACACATAACATATTGTAGATCGTTACAAGTAATATTCTATACATTCATATGTGTATACACTTATGTATAAATATATTTTATGTATAGATACACATACACATTCACATCAGATAGTTATGAGAAAAGGCTTCATGTAAAAGATAGCACTTAAGCTGAGTCTTTAATGAAACACAGGATTTCAAAAGACGTAGATGAGGAAGGGCTATATTCCAGTCAGAGAAGCCAGCCTGTGCAAATGCTCAGAGAAGGGACATAAAAATATCCTGCATGGCTGAAATGGCTGGATGGCAGATTTCAAGAAGGAAAGTAATGAGCAAGAACGCTGGGGAAGTAAGAAGGAGCCAGGTTGTGAAAACCTTAAATGCCAAATAAGAATTTGTCTTTCACTCTAGAGGGGGGCAGTGGAGTTAGTTGAGCTGATCAGACCTGTGCTTCAGGAAAATCACTAAACAGCTGTGGCGGGAAATGAACTGAAGCAGGGAGAGATATGAGGCAGAGAGTCCGAAAGGCTACTACAACAGGCCAAATGAAGTAGGATAAAAAGCTGATCTCGAGTGGTAACTGTGACAAGGGGGGAGAAAGGCTGTATGTGA